AAAAGGACTAGCGTGAGTGCAGGTTCAGGCCACAATCTCGCCCGCACCTCTGGACACGGTTCGTGGTCAGCAGCCGTTGGAGTTGTGCCTCTTTCGGTCTTGCCAGGGGGTTGTGGCAGTCTTCAGAGCCGATGCTCTGGATGGGTTGGGGGTCCAGGGTCGTGCATTGATGGCACAAGCATCCTTAAAGCCACGTGCTTCCACAGTACGGATGTCTCGGCTTATGCGGTCCAGGATGCATTGCTTGTTTGTATTCTGTCGGTGAGACGCAAGGATGCAGACGTTTGTTTGGGCTTCTGCAACGAATGAAGAAGGCTAGAAGGGGCAAGGATAACATTGGTTCCTTAAGGGGCTTTATTCACTCACACGTAGTAATGGCATCGCTCACCTCCCTCGTTCCTGTCCCGTCCCCATGCCTGCGACGGCATGGATGCTTCCGGCCGCGCCCATCCCGTTGACCATGGCCCGAGATCGGTCGACAAGCACTCCAGCAGGCAAAGTTAACGGCCTTCACCTAAACTTTAAACTTCACGAAAGGGTGAGGGATGCCTCATAAACACATCTCGGAGCTGTGCTGTTGGAGGGGTTTCTTTCGACGGAGGCACGGGCTGTTCGCTCCTCCTCAAGAAACAAGCACTAGATATCCAAAGCACGGGGTGTATTCTTCTGAGGGAGAGATCTCTTGAAAAAGAGTCTGCCTGCACCCACATTTCCAGGCAAGCAACACCAAACGTCCTCGGGCCGTCGCCATCATCACCATCACCATTGCCATCACCACTACCATTAATTACCATTATTATCATCATCGTCATTATCGTCATCGCCGTCGCCTTCGCCGCAATCCCGGCTATTCTTCTTCGTTTTCTGAGTGAGATAACCATGGCCAAGACGTGCATTCGCATGCAACAGCTCGCAGTCGCAATAGCACGGGTAATGGTATGACTTGCTGGTGTTTTGACTGTGACTTACAAACCAGGTGAGATCTCTGAGACCAAACACATGGTGGAAGCATCACTCACTCACCCATCGACGCGCAAAACACATGATATTGAAAACTTCCGATTAAGAGAAACTTAGGGCCTGTCATTCTATGGAATTTGACAAGATGGCAAGATGCTAGGATGAACGGGTGGAAGGCTGTGAGGTGCAGGAAGCTTTGAGTATAAGTAACCTGCCAGGCATCCGCGCTCTTGCGCTTCACGGCTTGTGCGTGCTTGGGGGAGTCGAATCCGAGTTTCAGGCTTTACTACCGAAGTTCGGGTCAAGGCTTCAGTTGAAGAATCCGCCTTGCTGGATTTCGGAATTGCTTAATTCCCAATCAACAGAACAGGCCAGACATGTAGGGTGAAAGGTTTTGGTGCCTCACGGCAGGACTGGCGGCTTCGAGTTTGCGAGGCTTCTGGATCTCAAAGCACGGTGCCCGACGCCTAAACCCATACGAAGTAGGATGCTAGGTGCAGCCATGCCGAGCACCCGGCTCAGCGTTAGCATCCCGCAGAAGCTCAGGATGTGCATCGCTGCACCCGAGAGCCACCTCAAACAAAGATAGAGGGTCTTGCAAGGGCTTCAGTGAGGCCTGCTGCTACTATGCAAACAGGGTATCGGGCTAGTTGTCGGAAGCACAACGATTCAAGTTAGACTCGGTGGAGCTCTTGTCGAAACTCCAGCTTGTGATGAGCACTGCTGCCGCCTTTCCGCTCTGCTTTTGCCTGCTCTTGCAAAGTATCTTTTCAGCTGTGGTGTGCCAAGACAAAACACCTGAGCATGCAGTTCAACTGCAATAATGCAAACGTGCATCTACATGTATAGGCTGTATAGGAATGATGCGCGTGAACATGTTGCTTTGCAAAAGCTACGGACATGTTGCTTGAAGCGCAAAGCATTGGCCAGAACTGTGCAGAGCAAAACTAGTAAATCCTAGAGGCCTGAATATTTAGAATAGGGTTTTGGGGGTTCCTCATTATAGTTATCGTAGACTTTACCCCCCAAAGCCTATTCTAATGTTAAGGCCCCTGCATTAAACCCAAGGCGCTGGTCAGAACCGTGCAGAGCAGAACAACTAAACCCTCCAGTACTTACCTCTGGTGAGTCGGGAATGGAGGAATGGGGTACAATTATAACTACAATTACTACCATTCTTCCATTCCCTACTAACCAAAGGTAAGATATAGGGTTATTAAGGCCCCTAAACTATAGTACCCTTATAGATCCCTGAAAGTAACCCTCATAAGAGTAAACTTTTCCAGGGGCCCCACCAGAATAAGGCGCTCAAGCAAAGAACCGTCACGCGCTCCTGCGAGGAAGGCGTGACATGGGAGTTTCCGAAAATTAGGGGTACCTTGTTTTGGGGTCCGTATAATGAGGATCCTACTATTTAGGGTACTATATTGGGGTCACCTGTTTTCGGAAGCTCCCACATCGGAAGGCCGTGGAGTTCGTAACCTCCTCGGCGTTTACGACGTAACGATGTTGGGGGCACGAAGGTTGGCAGCATATCAGAGAAGGCATGAACGGTATATGTAGCCACATCATGAAAAAGCCTGAAACAAGTGAACTGAAGAGAGCGCCTCTTGTCCTTCCTGTGAACTCAATACAAGTGATTTGTTCCAGAGGTGTTCCTTCGCATATTCTAGCACCACAGAGTCATCCCCCTGTCACATCCACTGATGGCCTTGCGTTCCTTAGCCCAAAAACTATGCACGGCTCCCAGACTTTAGCCCGAACCCAGAGACTCCAATATCCCTTAATTTAGCAATATACCTTAAATCATATTAGGGATCCTACTCTAATTTAAGGTATATTCCTTAATTATAAGGGATATTGGAGTCTCTGGGAACCCTGGGCTTCAGAAGTCCAATGCATCGCAGGGCTCCTGAGCACCATAGAGGGCTCCCTGAGGCAAGGACTTGGCTCCGGGGTTCTATCGGGCTTGGGGCTTGGGATTTTCCTAGGCTCAAGGAATCGCAACCTGACCTGAGAGCCCCAAACTTCAGACTGTGAAGATGGGTTGGACTCCGCTATGCGTTTCGGCAGCCTCTTCTTCATGCACATCTCCGTACACGGGTCAAGGCCAAGAATCAACAAGAAGATTTGCATGGTCATGCCCAATTTCCATCGTCATCCCCGACATCAGTATCATTATCATGTTACTGATCATCATCATCCTTATGCAGTTGTCAGCACTGTCATCCTCCTCTTAGTGGTGAACGTAACATCGGTGGATACTAGCCACAGCGACATCGCGGGAAGCTGCATCAGTGACCGGACGACTGTCGCAGAAATTGCAATGAATCCCAGCCGAATTGGTGCAAAAGTAGGAGGGACCTGGACTGGAAGCATGCAAGCCATGATAGCCACTAGCCCCTGCCTAATATCTGTCCGGATGAAGATTTACGAAGCTTAACTGATGCCGCCCTCGAGGATGTGACTCAACAAATCCACGAGCTGAACATGCTATGCAGTTGTTGCCGCGTTTCCCATCAAGAAGACACCGCTGACTTTGACCTCTTCGTCGGACCTCAATGCCTGGATCCTGCGCCGTGGCTCTGATTCCTGTTCAAACGAGGCCAAGTCGTCACTTTTTGGAACGGAGCAAGTAGCTGGCTCTGTAGCCATGCTATGCCACTTCCTCCCTGCTTTGAAACTCCTCAGGCTACAGCCGTCAGTGCTGTTGACGAACAAACTGTGGCATGTCCACGCGCGCCCTCTTCGTGCTGCAGAACTGCAGGAAACCGCAGTGCAAACATGCACCAGCTTTTGTAGCATGTCAGGCGCCGACAGCAGGAAGTGTGGGTCGGGCTCATGTCAAGGAGAGTTCGGTGAGCTCAGGCATGAGACTGGAATAGAACTTTGGGCGGCCCCTAAGTGCCTACGGAGTGAAAGACCGTCACTTCCTGGGAGCTTCGATGTCCGGCGGATGCCTCAAAACTCATAATTTTCCAACCTGAAACTCACGGGCGGCTGCTCAGAGATGGTCTTCTAAAGACGGACTGGTCTGGCGGGACATGCTGTCGAGCTGACGGACAGGACAGTGGGATCGTGATTTGCGACACTTCCAGCAACGAGGTTCTGTAAGCCGATGTAATCGTTTCACGAACTCATCCTTGATCAGCAGCCGGCCAAGTCCCAAGCATCGTCACAGATTGGTATGTACACATGTTGCATCATACTGCTTGAGCAAGATCTAGAGAAACACCTGGGCCGCGTCAAACTAGCCCATGGGTCGGATCACTAGCTCCCTTCCGGGTGTCAATATCAGTGCCCCCCACATAGGCGCGAGCGAACTTGAAACGCAAAAGCACGAACATGCCCTAAACTTTGTTTCTATTGACTTCCTCTGAACTTATACATTTCGGTCAGGGCCTTGGTCGGGCATCAAAAGTACTGGGAGTCTGGTTCAGCAAAGGCTCCGGTTCCCGAGTGGAACTTACAAACAGGATCGTCCATCTAGCATGAAAGCTGGTCCGTTTGTGTAGAGCTGCCGTGTTCATGGCTACCCTATGAGAGTCCGTACAAGACATTGCTACAGCAAGGGTTCGGCAGCACCAACACAAACACAAGCACAACGTTAAGTGCGGCCGGCTAACTGATCGTAAGTTGACTGTGTGTGCGTGTGTCCGAAGCTTAGTTTCAGTAGTACAGCCGTAAGTACACATATATGTTGCATGAACAGAGACAGAGACAAAGACAAAAACACATTAGACATGTATCTGCATTATATATATATATATATATATATATGTATATATATGTATATATATATATATATATGTATATATATGTATATATGTGTGTGTATGTATATGTACACATACACATATACACAGAGAGAGAGAGATATATATATATATCTATATATATATATATATACACATACTGGCACACAGAAAGACAGATGATCGCAGAAAACAGATGCGAAAAGAGAGCGAGAGGCAGCCTTTGTTAAAGTCTATATAGACCAGCACTGTACATGTACGACTTCGCGGAAGCCAAGCAACTTCTCATTCACTTCGTGGATCAAGTCGTGGGATCGGACGCCCTCCACGTCGACCGTGGAAAGGCCAGAGTTTCCTTTTGTCACAGCGAGGGATGCTGAATCCAAAAACACCATCTCCAAATGGCAAGACCCTTTAGATGAATCCTACACACTGAGACACCTAGACATCGGTGACCATGTTTGAAGGCTCTTAAAAGATATGTCGTGTGAGCTGGTGATGAGCAATGCGGGAAAGCAGGACTTGCTGGCCTAATGCTTTCGTGCCTGCGGCTCAAGGGTGTCGAGAGTCTTGTCTCAGCATTGACACATATCGATGCTCGCTGCCCCTTCCACGAAGGTGGTGCTCTGAGACACTGACGTAAATACCTACTGTCTAACACGTTGTACAACGCCCAACGCATCCTGCGCTTGTTGCCGCTTAACCGAGATCCACAGCTTGAGCCCGGAGCCCGTAGCCATATCATCCGAATCCTATCCGGCGTATGTCAGTCTGCATGCTTGCATATATGTACACGTGTATGTATGTGTGTACGTATAGGTATATATGTATATATGTGTATAGGTAAATGTGAATGTATACGTGTATGTATATGTATATATGTATATGCATATGCGTATGTATGTATGTATGTATATGCATGTATGTATGTATGTCGATATGTATGTATGTACGTATGTATGTATGTACGTATTTATGTATGTAGAGTGCGTGTGTGTATATATACATATACACACACCTTTTTACATGAGTTATTTATTGAGTTATGTGGGTGGCCATTTCTGACTATTTCGAAACCGGTACAGTGCTCGCACATGCAGTGCACCCACACTAAAGACTTGCTGGCCGACAAGCCACGTAGTTTGGTCGCAGCCGAAGCGTGGCATTGGCAACCTGCGAGCGTCGCCCAACAACATCTGAGATCTTAAGGGCTTAGGAAGCAAGACTACTCTGTGAACACGTTGCGATTTCACGAACATTGTAGCCGGCAGGAAAACAAATCTTGATGCGAACTAGCTTCAGCATCGACAACAATTTGGTATTGTATGCAACTCAGTCAAGCCATAATGTCGGCATTTACAAGGGTCGCACTCCGGCGAGTCAACATTGTGTCCCTCGAAGCCAGCTGGCTGACTTCAAGTTTGATACGGTTTCGGCAAGGACATTAAAGGAGACGCTTCTGAAGTCTTCTTGTCTGTACTTGTTTCGTGACTGCTGAGGTCTGAACTGGAGAGATGCTTAGCAAGATGGATGATTCATGCAGTGCGAAGAACAAAGTTGAAACCCTGCAAATGCGTGATATATAAGCAACCTATCCTTTCATCAGAAGGCCGACAGGTCACGTCATCAAATCGTAGTCCACACACCGAAGGTCGTGCTCGGTGAGGGACGAAAGGCCTGGGCTTAGACTTGAAGACAGTTCGGTGACACACTAGTCAACAACAGGGAGATTTCACACGAACATAGCGATAAGGAGCCACAACCACGACAACGACGACGGCGACGAACCCACGTGCAATCAATAGGTTTAGAGTGCTCCGCAAACTATACGGTTCTTAGGGCCCCTACCAGTGGTGTCTGGAAGAATCGAAAGCTACAAGCGAATGTAGAGTGACGTGGGATCGGATATGGTTCGCGATCGGGCAACCAGAGACTTCGACCAGTGAGCCACTCAGGATTACACTGCAGTTCCACCAAGCCCAAGACTGGCAATACATCTCAATGGTGTCCAGGCCGCAAGATCCTTCTTAAACTTACAGTCTTAGCAGGCCTTACCATGGCTTACCATAATATTACGTACACCCAAACTGGCTCCCAGATTCGCCCAGCGGCCCAAATGGTTGGCGAGCTTCCGCAGCACACTGATTGCCCCGATCTTTGCGGGATCCTCCGGGTGGTCCTTGTCCTCTGAGCGGCTTCGAATCAGGAGTCCCGACTATTATTACCATAATTACTATTATTACTATTACTACTATTAGTACTATTAGTATTATTACTATTATTACTTTTTTTGTTATTTCAGTTGCAGGCTTCAGGGCTTGGGCAGCTTTTGGTGATCTTGGAGTTTTGGGAAGAAGCCTCTCCTTCGAGGGTTGTCGCCTTGCCACTTTGGCACTTTCAGGAGTTGTACATGGCTCATCGAAGTGGTTGGTTGAGTGTTGCGGGTGCCGCTTTTCGGCTTCTGGACGCATCGCCTCCAGGTGTGAAACTAGCTGCTTCGAGCTTGTGGGATTAATGCCTGCCACAGGTGAGCGATTCGATGGCTGCGTAGAGTACCACTTCCAAGCATTTGTTGCATCCAGGCGTCATAGGCCACCAGCTCTTCGAAATGAATAACCTCAAACGACATGTCCATCAACAACATGTCTACGACAGCCGTCTGGGCATGCCAGCCTTTGTGTTCAGAGCCTCCCTGCCTCCAGCGCAAGCCACATAAGTCTGCATTTCAAAAGATCTTCTTCCCAACTTGCAAGCCCTTAAGATGAGACATCCGAGGCACATGTGTGGCCACCTTCATCCAAGCCGGATCCTGTCACTTGACAGAGACGTGCAGAGATCTGCGCTTGAAGCTTCTACCGCTGAGCGGGGAGAGGACCGCTTACAGTCTTGGGCAAGACAGGATCGTTTACGTTTGACAAGCCGAAAGCAAAACTCGGAGCGCAAAGGCATCACAACATCTGTGTGCACCACCTCCAAAAATCTAAAAGCATCGAGTTAAATTTCATTGGGCCGTATAGGTTGGTCCTCGGAAACCCAGAAGGCCAATCCCCGAAGACTGAGGTACAGAACAGAAACGGCCATCCAGTCTATGATCTAGCCATCATACTCCAAGACGAGTACTATTCAGGCTTAGGGGTAGCAGGCGTAAACCATCTTGCACCCAAACAGGCCTGCCTCGGCGAAGCCTTGTCTCACGCTGACGATCACGTGCGTGAACATAGGCGACACCTGCCCGGGAAGACTGAGAGGATCCCGGAAGTGCGGGGCTGGGGCTGGTAAGCTGAAAGACTCGTGGATCCGAATTTCAGTGTGCTGCTTGCTAATAATAAAAGGCTATCGGATCTTAAGCCGACTAGAATCGACGCGGTTAGGGCGGGTTGAGCACCGGGGCTCAACAGTTGAACTTCAGCTGCCACACCAAGGCATTCCCCACAAACCTGAGACAAACCTTACATGACGATGGACGTGCATCAAAGTCAACGCCCTGACCATCGCTAGAGCAGCAGGAACAACGTTCCCAATATCATCAGCTGTCTTCTCGTGAATGGAAAGAGCTGGGCTACAATACCAAGAGCAGAAACGGTCACAAAAGGGTACGACAACTGTCAGGCATTCAACTGGGAACGGTGGGACTTTCCACCTAAGCTAAGCATGAACTACCAGATGTTCAGTTTCTGCCGATTCTGCATGTGGCCTGCTGCGGAACAGTGCGCACCTCATCAAACGCTGCTTTCGACATCTCGCCCGTCCACTCGTGCGTCTTGATCACCTTCAAGTGAGGGCACGGCTCATTCCACAGATCTCGGAAGTTCTTCCAAGCAAGTATCTGCTAGAGGACCGAGATGTTCTGAAGCCCCGAAACTCGCAAACTTCTCCGGCGGTAGTACGATCCATATACAGATCCCGTAGCCCACAACACACTTCGTTCAGAGCTTCTTCGTTTCTCCGTGGGCATGGGGCCAAATTCCTCAAAGGGGCCACATGGGCTCCAGTCTCCAGGCGATGCTGAATTTTGGAACGGTCCAGGCATCGCATCCAGTACCTGGGATGGCTCGGTGCATTAGGTTGAGCGCTCTTGCTGCATCTTAGCCCTGAGCCCTAAACCCTAGTTCTTGAATCCGAAAACCTTACCCCTAAACCCTCTAGACTAGTGCCCAAAGGGTCCTGTGTACCGATATAGTAGAATGTAGGGTTTCCATATTTGGAACTACTATTATGACTTAGGGTAGTATCCCCCATAACAGTACATAGGACCCTTTGGGGTGGGAGGCTTGGGTCGCTCCGCGACTAGTCGCAAAAAGCCTAGTGCGAGGATGATCCAGCCAAGACCGGGTCCTCAGAAATGCAAAGGCCTTCTATTCCTCTGGCAAACAGTATTATAATCGTATTATAACAATATGATAATAGTATTATAATAGTATTATAGTCTTCCAGTAGCGACCTCCAGATGCCTCCAGGCTCCGGGTGCCGTAGCAGCAGCATGCCGCTACAAGATGAGTACACTACATAGCAGCCAGTGCCGTGAGTTACACAGCGCTAGCGACGAACGCGGGACACCCACTGCATGTTACGGTATTGCATTCCCCGTCACAAAGATGCATCATGCAAAACTTTGGTATTTACAGCGTCTCAAAGTGCACTATGCATGTATACATACTCTTAACATGTCGATGCAGGACAACGCAGGATTACATCAATCATCAACCCGACTGATCAGACCGAACCTGCCCCCTGCACCATGAAACCTAAACTCAGAGACCGTCAGCCTAACACACTGAAAGGCTGAACCCTATACTTCCCAAGCTGTAAAAATCCTAAAACCCGAACCCTAAGCTTCCTGAGCCTGAAATACTAAGCTCTAAACCCTAAACAGGCCCTAAACTGCCCTAAACTCTCAGAACTTGGAATACAATAATACAATAATAATACTATAATAACAATAATACTATAATATAATAATACTATAATCCGTTAAGCCCTGAGCTTGAACTTCGCCAGACCGAGCTGCGAGTCGCAGGCCTCTTTGGCCTCTCAGCCGAGAAGGCAGGGATTATGGGACTTAGTAACTAGGGTTCTCATTAGGGTAGCTATACTTATAACCCTAATTAGGGCAGGTATAACCCTAATTAGGGCACTTATAACCCTAATTAGGGTACTTATAACCCCTGAGTTAGGGTACTTATAACCCTAATGAGGGTACTTATAACCTTACTTACTGAGGTCATCTTCGTGAATTCTTCGTTGCTTTGGTTTGAAAAGGCCGAGGGGTCCGGCCGGGCTGGATTTTAGGGGTTCGGGGGTTTAGGGTTTAAGGGTTAAGCTTGTTGTTGGCTCCGCTTTTGAAGAAAGTTCGGAACTCCTTGCCCTCGAAACTTCAAGATGCGGGGCGGACTGTAAGTATCACAAACTTAAGTCTTACAACAAAGGGTTCGGACTTCGGACACTGCGCGAGCAGATAGACCAACAACCCAGCACCCAACTGCCTGTCGGAAAAGTAGACGCGTGGCATTGAAGACCCACGTGGAGGCAGTGCGGCCCATGTCTCGACTTGCCTTATCAGGCAGGATACTCGTGGGTACGAATCGTGTCACTCAAGCCCGTGCAAGGCAAACGCATCGACAGCATGCTCTCGTCACCCTGCACTCCTTGATTCCCTTCTGACCTTCTGCATCCTCCGAGTCCCGTTCCGTTAGTACGAATCCTGGACGAGCTCCATATGGAGTCAGGGAAGAACAAAACCAACTAGATTTGTCATCGCATCATGCAGTATGAGTCTATGGCCCTCGTCGATTTGCTTTGGCGTGGCGGCTGACATGCTTCGACACCCCCTTTCATTTCGTGCCCGCAGCATATCGAACATAGGCGCAAGCCATCACAAGCCCTTCAGCTTTCTGAGACTGAGAGAACCATCTTCGGAACTGAGCCACGGTGATCACCACATGGGGCCGGTCTGGATAGCGGAACCCAGAGCCTGCCAGAGATGCTTCTCACCACTGCAAACATCCGGGCAGGATAACACCAGCCGGAACAGACCGCTGAACACCTCACCTCCTCTAGAACCATCGGCCCTTCCAAGAAGGGGTACAAACAAGCGTGCAGGCAAAAACTGACCCGGACTTGCCCTGCCGGTAGAGCGAGGAAGTATCTATGCCAAGGCAGACCCTTCTCTGAATTGTTTTCACTTCTTATGAACTAACAAATCTGCCAATAGTCTTAGAAGTGCTTAGGGCTTTCATTGCAGGAGCTGCACGGTGTAGCTGCAGTATGGGCTCGGACAGGCTTACAATCTTGAGTCTTGGCCCCAAGGTAGACAAAGAACCTCCGGCCGGAGAGCAAAGTGCCAAAAGTAGAGACCCACCTTCCGCAAAGCGGCGCTGCTCAATGGGGTCCAGGTGCCTGACAAGAAAGTTCAACGAGTTTTCTTCGGTTTCCGGAAGCGCAAGGATCCCGAGTAGCCTTCAACCCCTGACACGGTCTTCCCGTGAACTTTTGTCGGAACAAGAAAGTGGTCCGTCGAGGAAAGACTGCCTCAATAGTTTGAATGGGGCTTCGGTTATATGTAAGGGGATGATGATACCGAGCCTTCAGACCGACCCCTATATCCGCAAAAAAAGAGCTCGCAGGCTGTTCGAGTCCTTTGGGCTGTCATGTCAAGGGACCTCGAGGAAAAGGCACAAGTTCGGTTCTGCACAGAAAGCACACAAGGCTTTTTGGCGTCTCTCGGATTATCACCATAGTCCGCTCATCACGGTCTGATGGTGGAACAGATGCTTCTCGATCTCCCCCCAGAAGGTTGCAGTCACCACCGGGCAGTTCAAGTACGGGCGCACCGGCCGGAAGTTGAAGATCAGTGAGAAGTATGCAGCCAGGTCGGTGGCTAAGAGACACATTCCTCGACTAGGGTAGGCGCGCGAGAGCGGAGGGAAAGGGTGCAATGATTCTACTACTACTTTGCAGAAGCTGCGCAAACCAATAACTCTGGTCAACGCAACCATATACCGGCCCTCGTTTATAGCAGGAGACTTATATATGAGTTTCCTGCCAGCCGAAAACACTTATAGGATTATCATTATCCTGAAGGCCCCGCGAGAAGCCTCGGTTCCTTACAAGGCTCTTGATGGATCAGCGACGCCCAGCACCGGTTGACCAGCAGGCGTGCCACTCACCACAAAGTGTTGGCGGTAGACAGGAATGAGCCGCGGCACCCCCTTCCTCACAGCTTTCCAGCTCAACAGACGTATCAGCGTTTCTGTCATGGGTAACCAAAGGTCAAACGGACACGAGCTTCACCGCTGCTCACTGCCAAACTTGAGCCTTAAACTTCAATTCTGAAACTTGCCCGGTCAGCTTTATGCACAAACTTCGGTTTCTCTGGATTTGCTTGTGGCAAGATGCAGATGCCTTGCCGTAAGCGAAGCACGCTCAGTTCTGTCCTCCGGGCGCGGCCCCCACTCCTTAGAACAAGGGCTTCGGGTTCGGCCTCAACGCTGCGGTCAAGTGCCTCGTCCGATTCATGTTAAGAGCTTGAAATAAAGTGCAGTACACCGGCCAATGAGCCAAGGAGCCGTGTACCAGAAGCTCTGTACACCTCCCAGTCTTGCGTGGATGTCATCCCGCATCACAGCGTGATGGTCGTGCACACTGACCGCAACCGTTCGGCGCCAGTTCCTGAGTCAGTTTAAAGGCCTAAACGGCGTCAGAGAGCTTTGAAAGCTTTCGGGTGTGCTGAATTCATCTGGCTGAGGCATAAGCCGCAACCCCAAGAACGAACGGTGAGAGTCTAGAGTCTAGACTGTGAGGGCTGTTCTCAGCTCGTCATGCGGCTAGCACCCTTTACGCAAACATAACGAATGCTCCAGTAATATTCTGTTTACCATGGTTCGGGAACTCGGGCCCCTCTGGCATGGCAGTCTGCAGGAACAGCTTCAGGTCCGGCGGGAAGCAGATCTTGCAGTTCTCTTCGGCTTGACGGACCTCTTCGTCCGTCATCCCTTCAGAGAAGGCAACGCCGGCTGCTCTCATGTTCTGAATCAGCTCATCAATAACATCCTGAGACAGGAAAGGCTGCACCAGCACCGACACATCTCCCAGGACATGGTCACAATCCTGCAGCTTCTTCCCATCCTGAAGCAGCGCCACCTCAAAGGGATGGAGCCCTAGGCGCTGAGCGACTTGGCTCCTGACTTCCTCTGCATCGGATCCCGGTGACAACTCCACCACCAGCAGCTCGCCACTCAGGAGGCAAGCATGTACTATTCGACCCAGTCTCGTTCCAGAGTGGCCGGTGTTCTGCGAGGACGAAGCCATGGCTGGCACAAGGTGCTGCTCGCCCTTGAAAGTCCACGCAACGGATGCCAGTCTCTGCTCTGCAGAAAGAAACGGGTTGTGGGCTGGAAAGAGCGGGCGAGGGCTCCGGTGCATCACATATTCGATTGGGCATATTGCCCACTCTAAGGGGCACAGCCGCAAGGCCCTCCGACTGTCCCTCGCAACTTGAAGTCTGAGACCCGCCTGCCTGGCTTTCGGACGTTAGACGAAGCCGCTCCAACATACAAGAGCTACGAGTAAAGGGTGTACTGGATCTGCGAGGTTAGCCGAGAATAACTCGTGTCTGTTTGGTCATCAATAGAGGAAATCATACTTGTCAAGCAACATCCAACATATGCTTTGCTTTCACTACACCAGCCCAAGTCCTCTCCGACAGTCAATGTAGAAGCAGGCCTTCCCTCGCATTCGTCGTGGCAGCGTGAACCTTCCGGCAGCAGCTGGCTCAGGATGAAGACTTCAGAAGCAAGTCTACCGCAAAGCCACCGCAACAAAGCAAGCTGTGTATATATATATATATATACTATAGTATATAATATAATATCGTATAATATTATCTATTATATATATATGTATATATATATATATATGTATATATATATATATATGTATATATATATACATATATGGTACCCCCCCCCCCCCAAAGACCAAGGTTTCTATATGAGCTTTAGATACAAGCCTACTTACACTAGCCGATAGTCGCTGGTCTTTGGGGGGGGGGGGGGTGCCAATAACAACCCTACTAAGGTGTAGGGACAAACATGCATGACATAACCCCCTTGTGGTTTTCATGTAAGCCTGCATACAATAATCCTTATACCATTTCCTGTCGCACATTCCAGGAGGCCTACTGAATTCAATAGGCCCTATTGAATTCAATAAGCCTTCTGGATTGAAGATTGAAGATGCCCTCGAAAAGTTTCCTGGGAGATCTTCAATCTTCAATCCGGGAGGCCTATTGAGTTCAATATGCCCTATTGAACTCAATAGGGTTTATCTTGAAATCGATCATGAGGGCCGTGCGTGGAAGTGTGAAAATTGGGTTCAGGGGTCAAAGTCTACCGCTGCGTCATCGTACTTTTGGAGTACACGCATATGGGTTTTAAGGGCTATGCAGAGAAAGTCATCAACTAGACGTATGATACTACCATTAAGCTTCCCTAAACGTATTCTTTTGAATTACGCCCAGCTTAAATTCAGATAACACTACTAGTTTTATGCAACAAATGCAGTTGGAATACTAAGAATATAATCGAGGGCTCATTCTATCGAACTGTATACTGCTGAGGTATCAAAAGCACATACTTTAACGTCCATGTAGCTAGCAATCTATGCATGAATGTATATGCTCGATTCAACTTTTGGTAAGACTACTAAATGCACCGTATTATTAATAATACTTAGAACTGATTTGACATAAGTAAATAAACTCTCCGCCTGAACAGGTCCGAGGATCTGGCCTATCCAGCTGTTTGCGTACTTGTGAAAATACTATTCTACAGCTATATACTAAGCTACATCTTCATACAAGTATAACGTTGTCCCTACAGGCACTACTGCCCGTTTTCAAGTGACGGGCACTTCGCGCCCAAGGTGTGCCGGCCTCCTTCAGGCGGGTCACGTGCCAGTCCAAATCCTCGGCCGTCATGGAGCCCGTGCAGTCGTTGCCTGGAGCCAGTTGCATGGCGTAAGACCACAGAGCAAAATTGCTTGGCCTGCGCAGACGATCAGGATTCTCCGGACGACCTGCGCGTCTTATATCAGGACTGTGCTTCTCGAATAACTTGCCCGGTCCTGCTCGGGCTCCAAGGCTTGGATCGCCTGCCAGATGTGCCTGTAGAAGGCATCCCGACCAAATCCTTGTCCCCATGCCGGGCGAACCGGCACGGAGAGCAAGGATTCGGCCAGGCTGCCTGCATCGCCACCGCGGAACTGCTTCTCCTGCGAGGCAGTTGCAATCGTCGGTGCACAACAACAAAAACTAAAACCATGCACTGTAGCCTTCTCCGCCGGCAGCGCGCAGAGGCAGGAGTCGGAGACGACGAGGTCGAAGTCCTGCCGTCCAGATCTACGTAGAAAGGTTGGAGAAATAAAACACCTTCGTTCGGCCTTGGCCACCTGCTGGAGGCAGGTGGCCACGAGACGGATGCCCGTCTCGCTGACGTGACATCCGTCCGTGTGGACGGGCGTTCCTTTCAGCTCTCGAACAGGCAGTCAGCGCCTCCGATCGTGACCTGATTATACTCGCCTGGAACGCGAGCGACTTCACAGATTTTCGCGATCTCGTCGCTCCGTTCCAGGGCTGCCGCGGCAATCACCTGCTGTCAGCCTTATGTTTTTTGATCGCCATCGAGAATGCACCGCCGCCTCGTGCTTCTCAACTCGGGTCGTACTCTGCTGGTGCAAGGTAGCCGAGTGCCTGAGTAAGCCGCAGGCATGGGACTGTGCACTCGTGGATTCGGCGCATGAAGCACAATTCAATTTCCGCGACTGCCCTCGGACGTGATCGGTAAAACCGCCGAGTTCAGAGCCTTCAACCGCCAGTGCCACGCAGCCTCGGAGGTGACCGTAATCAGCAGAGAAACAACCGGCTGTGCCGGGCACCGTGCGCGGAACCCGAGACATTTCTGAGGCCGTCCAGCCTGATCCATAGCCGGGGCCGGCAGGCGGGAGCCCACAAGACACGCGCACTCGCGCACACACGCGGACGCACACCGGGGGCCTTTGGCTTCGTCCTCGTTGTCTGGAGCGCCTTGCGATGCAGCACAAATACAAGGCATGTGAACGGATCGCCAAAGCGCTGTATCCGGTGAGCGAGAAGTGCCACGCACGCCTGGCCTTCGGGCGCTTGCAGGTCGCCTTGCCAGTCTCAGGATGCGATTTGCAACGACAGCTCATCAATGGCGCCGCTTATCACGTTGCACGACAGCACCGGACAAAACGAGTTCGACCTAGCAGCTCTGGCACATTCCACCGATAAGGCTTTTGCTCGCGAGGCTGGGCGAACGCCGGCCTTGCAGGTTGACGACAGGACACTAGCCAATGGAAGGCGTGAACGTGTACAATGCAAATACACCGACAGGTCACGCAACATGTCCCGATCCGACCGGCCTGTAGCCAGACCAGAACTGCAGTCACCTGCGCATGTTGGGCGAGCGCACCGTTGCCGATTGCATTGTTACTGGACGTGTTGCTGCTCAGTTTATTCGGGTGACGGCCTCCGGACTTTCGATGCCAGCCTGATAGCATTGTCATCCCAAGGCTGCTGAAGGCGGACCTGCCCCAGGCAGAGCGTCGAGCTCTCCGATAGAGTTCCCACTCCTGACGGGCCTTGCAAGTCGCAGCATCGCTTTGCTTTCGGTCTTAACCCGCACGCAAATGCATAGTCCGGTGCTTTCCATCGACGGCGGACCACCTTAGAAGAACCGATGCAGCACAGCTTCTTGGCGAAGCTTGGTCCCGAAGCAGACTTTCGGTGTCGGACCACGCCCATCAGGAACACGAACAGGATGAGCATCATCATGGCAAAGGGCGCGCCGGCGGTGAAGACTAGCTAGTCCTGTAGAAACGGCTGCCGCACTGCAGATGCGCCAAAGTACGTTTTGCCCGGCACAGGAACACTTCAAGAGCAATCGTTCTGTCCTCGACGACACACAAAGCGGCACACTTTTGAACAGGAATCCACCCCTCTTGGTGCTAGCCCAAAAGTCGTTGAAGGCCATCCAAGAGCAAATACTGCACTTGATCATAGCCCACAAGGCCGTTGAAGGTCGGCCCCGAGCAGACACTGCACTTGGTCATAGCCTAAAGGCTGTTGAAAGTCGGCCCTAAGCAGAAAGGCAAATCCCTAAAAAATGGTTTGCGTTGTTGCACCTGCACTTCGAAATGGATCTGTTCACCGATGGTTTCTCTTATTGCAGCGTTAACCTCTGGTAGAATTGTTTCGCTTATTGGGGCGTTACAGGGAAAACCTCTTGCAGAATTGTTTCGCTTACTGGGGCGTTCGGAATGGAAATCTCTTGCAGAACAGTTTCGCTTGTTGGGGCGTGAGTATATTGCTTTCTGAGTTCTAATCGGCAGACAACAAACCCTCTATGCTATTCTTATATTTAAATCTGACGGTTGTTAGCTCAGCAAGCCCTATGCTTGAAATGATCCGAGGACTCAATTCAATCTACCCAATCATCTAATTACCCACATACAGAAAAATAAACTTTCTGCAGTCAGTAATCCGTATAAGTATGTCATTATCCCTGGGTGTAGTGATATCATATGAAGCATTATTAATATAGCTTTTTGTCTGTTCGTGTTAACTGGCAAAGCACTTCATGAACAGGCTGTTTGGCTCCTATTCAAAAGTATAGCTTCCAAGGTTCTACTATACTGCTTCTATTAAGCAGCTATCTGGGTAAATCGCAACAGAATCTCAAGCCATATTATTAGCAATTAGCAGTTAACAGACCCTGTAAATTCGATTGTATAATCAGTTGCTGAGTACTTAACCTCATTTTTCCAAGAATGATGTGGTGCATGCTAAATGGTAACACCGAGGTCTTATACCTAATAGGCATGTTTAAACTATAAGACTATATGCTTGATATCTCAAACATATAGTCTAAGAATACATGTCTTTGTAGGGCCACATCTGTAGTAATTAACAAAACCCGGATGTTCAATTCTATATTCAGCTGGCAAATAGTTAGCCTTTTCTTTTCGCATACAATAAATGGTACACACTAAACGATGGCATCGAGGTGCTATGCTTGGTAGGTATCTTTAAACGTTACAAGTAGCTTGATGTCTTGAAACCAATAGTATAAGAATAAATGTGTTTGTGGTACTACAACTGACGCTAATAAAGCACACGGCATGGGGCGAGGTTTCCATACGAAGTAAGCCGTCAACAGAATATGGCACTTGAATGGAAAACGTTTTGGTCGTGATCGCGCTTAGAATGGCTCTAGGCGAGAAAACCAAAAAACAATACCAGCAAAAAACAAAAAAATACAACCAAACAAAAAACACACACACTTCCAAAAAACATTATTTCAGTACTCTTCCAGAATAGCATTAGAATTCTACATTAATGGGAGCACCCATCAATGTTCTTATCTGAAAACCTTGGTCTTTGGGGGGGGGTAGCATATATATATAATATAATATAATATAATATATAATATAGAATATAATATAGCGCATTCTGAAGCATCCAAGTCTTGCCCCGAGCTCGCTCAAAGGTTGAGACGGCCTGTGGCTTTGCTGCCGCGCCCCTGGCAATCAAAGGGCCCATGGCCTTGGCAAGCCAGGTCATGTTTTCTGGATCTTGTCTTTGCTGCAAGAATACATTCAGGTTCAATCTCTTATATGGTATACAATATTATATATATATATATATTATATTACGTAGTATCTATATACTCTATTATAGACTAATATCCGCGCTGTCTCTGAACTTCTCCGAAATTTGCTTTAAATGCAACCCGGATCCTCAGCACCCCCCCCCCCCCGCTCGCGAGACCGCCTGAGGCTGCCAACGATCAAACACAAGTCAACACGATATATGGTGCTTCATAATAGGAATGACAAGAAGAATAATAAGATTGATAATAAGAATAACAATAACAATGAAAATACTAATAATAATACCAATAATAATAATAATAGTAATAAGAGTAGTAATAATATTAGTAATAATAACAATAATCATGCGTTATTCATGGGGACGACGACACTAAGACTTCGGACCAACCTTGCGACACTTTTCTGAAGATGTGCAACTCCAGCAAGCCTGTTGCCATTTTCTCTCCAGATGCGCGCCGTTCCGCTGGGACACCAGTCGCACGGCGATGGCTCCTTGACTTGAGGCCCTTGGGGTATTTGCGGTGTGGTCATACTGGTATCTCTCCGGATAGACAGTATGGAGAGCCACTGTGGAGAATCTAAGCGACTTGGCTTTGTCTTACTCGCTTACACAGTGTACAAAACCATATCGGCAGTCTGCTGCAACGCATTGTGGTCTGCAACCTGACAGCAGGCCAGACAAGCAGCTCAGCACGACTCGGCAACACTGCGGCAGCCTCTGAAACCCTAAGCCGATCCAGGCCGTGAGGCCGTACAGATCGGTAAGCACACCAAAACCACAAACTCCAGTTGTGAAGTCCCTCTCCACGACATTGGAAACCCCTACATATGCAGATATCCCCTAGACGGCTTTGCTATCTGAGATCTCCACCAGACCAATCACGGAACCCCGCTATGTTCGCCCGAAGCACGCATCCGGGAAAGCCACCAGGGGAGGGAGCTTCGTGCGGACCTAGGGATGTGGTAGGTGGAACACTGTGGAATAGAAACGGAATAGGAATAAGCTGGTTGGGAACATCGTACTGCTGAACATCATGTGTCGTGAATCCGCACATGCTATGCGCAAATGCTACCATGCTGGATCGGCCATCCCTAACTCTCTCGCTGCAAAGGGGTAGCCAGTCGATCGAGGGTGATTCTTTTTGACGTCAGGATTTGGGGTGGTTTTGCCAGAACTACCAATCAGCACCCACTGCCCCACTGCTACTAACGCTTCGGTCTAAAGAAACATCGACAGAACAAGATCCGCTGTGTGTGCACACCTGACCAAGGCGCGGTGTCTTCTTCGAAATGGACCATTCCACTCGCCAGGGTGCCACAAGGACCTCGAAACTCCAACCGGTCTCCTCGGCATGTTTGGAAAGTAACGACAGAGGCATCAGAATGTGCAGCCTCATGCTTCCGTTTGATGTTGCCGTTAGGGGCATTGGCGATCGTAAGGGAAGTGGTAAGGCTGACGATCGCAAGTCGCCAGTTCCAAAACATCAAGATGATGCTATTCAGCAATTTGGTGAATCTTCAGCCTGAAACTGCCAGTGGAGCCTGAATTGAGTTTGTGTGGGGCTCAGGCTTCGGACTTGAGAGGGAAAGCGAAGTCAAAAGGTCAACGCTGCTTACGGTGGTCGCAATCTTCAGCAAAACGCGCGTGCAGCAGTGGGCTGGTGTGGTCGAAAGGACGGACAAATGCCTGGAATTTCCCTCAGGTCCGGTAAGTTCCTAGGAAGCTCCTGGGTAAGGTCAGCCGGACCTCTTTGGGGTCTGCAGAATGCGACGTTTGAAGCTTCCACATGTGCTAGCATATTCTGGGTAGAGCCACGCGACCTCTAGCAAGGCGTTTTGATTTGTTTGATTGGCTCGGATCTCAGGGAAGTCGCGATTATTTGAGACGGGGCGAAAATAGCGGGCGGATTGTGTCTGGAGGTGTTGAGGGCTCTAGGACTGGAATCGAGAAGTGGAAGCCCCCGCTCCGCTTCCGGCCTGAATGAACTCGTAGAAGGCCTGCAACGCGTAGCCCTCGTAGCCGGCGTAGTTGAGAATGTCGTCAAAGATTAGCCTCGGATTAGGGGCACAGCACGGCACCCGGCTGGTGAACTGTGCCACCGGTACGCTTGGAAGTAGCATGCAACATGATAGTAGTAACGACTGTGCTATCCTATGCTGGCAGTCTACTGCTAATGTCGGTACACGTCCTCAGTGGTGCGGGTTGCTGTCATCATTTACTACTACGGACGTCAGAGAACTAACTAACCGTTTTGGAACCTCTTGCCAGTCTACGAATACATTTCGGGTACCACCGTCACCACTATTGGTCCTTATCTTGGTGTCCCGCCTCAAACACCAATACTTGAAAACTGCACCCAGGCTGCACAGAGCCGGGCATGAGGAAGGGCGACAAGAGCGAAAGGACGAGGCGGTGGCCAGCATAGGTGTCACAGTCGAGGTGGAGCCACTGAACCTCATGCTTCTCTCTTCTGGGCGTTCCGGATGTGGGGACAATTCGGGAATGCGATTCCAAGTTCACGAGGCCACTCACAGGCGTTTGGTATAGAGGCGTTAGGCATCGGCCCATGTGGACGGATGCTTTGCATGCCGGTAGCTTACGCAACTGGATGACCCCTGTGACGATCGAAAGCTCGCAGCTGAGGAGCGAGACTCTACTTCCGCGATTGAGCTTTAAGCTTCTGGTCGGGCTATCTTCGTGGAGCAAAACTTCAAACGGCTCTCATCGAAGCCCATGGTCATGTAATCTGTCTCATGGGTATGATCCCGATATAGAGTGCCTTCATGTGTGTGTGTGTGTGCGACACTAAAAGCTTTAGCCGAGGGTCCTTCCCACCGTTGAGGAGGTGGCTCCGGATGAAGGCGGGCAATGTCTTGTTGTACCACCCGACAACCAGCTTTGCGTTCGGAGGGAGGTACTTTGGAATTCTCCCAGAGGTGCTGAATTCGAAGCGGTCGAACCTGCACAATGTCATGACCAAGCGCGTGACGCATAGTAGGAAGTTTCATCTCACATCCCAGCTTGGGTGTGGCAGTAGTTCGGTCAACTCAATTTTTGGCAGGCTTGACATACAGTAGTGTACTGGAACTCTAATAAGGGTATGCTCGACGTGCCCTGCTTCAGAATCTGCGATAGCTTGGGCATCTGACTCTTCCAGCGGTGATTGCTGAACACCATGCCAAACTGCCCGAAGTCTACTCGGCAAGACGTTGGACAGGTCTCATTCCAGCCCTAGCCATCCCCTGTGCTTGCCATGTCCTCGCACACCGTGCGAATCTCAAGACTCCACCCAGATCCCTGTCTTTCGATATCTCTCTCTGCACAGGCCCCGTTGCTGAGTTGCGCCATGCCTGCCCCAGTCCTCATCGAGACCCCGGAAGGAGTCGAAGCCGTATACCGGGTGATGCGCAAAGCCTTTGAGGATTCTGCTTGCAAGGACCGACATGCCTATGTATAGCGATGCTGAGTATCGCTTGTACGGTGAGGAACATGCAGTGGCAGATATCATGAGTTCTGGTACAGCGAGGAAATGGGCCTGAAGGCCCAAGAATCGTGAAGCTTCGTATACCCGCCTTCTCCGTAAGCTTTCTAGTGAAGTTGAACTCTGGAGACAAGTGGAACAAAACTGGGGAGACGGTTATTAACATATGGTTCTCCACATGCCCCAAGCGCTGGGCCGCAAGCTTTCCACACCCCAGCTCACAAAGCCTAAAGAGACCTTAAAGCTTCGGCTTGGACTCACAAGGCCCTTCTGCCCTGTCGGCTGCCTGTCCGCATCAGGTGGATGGCGGTGCTTCGCAGCGTAGCACCGAAAAAGACACCTGAAATACGCATTGGGGTTAAGCTGGGAAACCCTACCCAGATTACTCTGTCTGTTGGTATTGGCAGAGTGGCGATCCCGCTCTCACTGTTGAAAGCTCCGATTCAGCCAATCGGCCCGGTGAAGAGGAGCTAGTATTCGGGAACTATATTTCTCGATGACGAGCACACCTTGCACATGTTGTGGAGTTGCCCGTGTAACCGCGTGAGGTTGCATCAGCTTCGTTGCGAGTGGAGTAGTGCTGCTTCCCAGAGTAGCCGCATTGACGCGAATCAGCTCCCTGATGCTCTGCCCATGTGTTTGCGTCAATGTGGGGTTGTGCCTCAGGGGGATGTTGGGTTCAGCGAACATCAAGTGTCGGCCTTGCAGCGCTACTTCGCTGATACGCTCGATGTGTGGGCTAAGCATAGGAGTGGAGAATCGAGCTCTGGACTTGACTCCGCTGATTCCGAAGCCGAGTGAGGGATGCATCGCATCAATGCTCGCCTACTTAGGATTGCGCGGAGGCTTCGCTGGCCCCGCTCTTCCATGCCATCCGAGGGGTGCTAGCACCCCGCCCTACCTATCACATTATAGATCTGGCATCGTGAACCGCTCATTGCCTTTGATTGTCTAACCAGCAGCAGCAGCAGCAGCAGCAGCAGCAGCAGCAGCAGCAAGGGAGTAGTCGTAGCAGTCGGGGTGGCTGCCACCGGTGGCAAGGTGGTAGGAGCAGCAGACACCGCAGCACTTACCAGTGTCAAAATAGCAGCAGGAGCAGCAGCTCTACCATCAGTAGTAGGAGAACCGTTAGCGGCCATGATGCAGCAGCGGCCGCCGTAGCAGCAGCAGCGCAAAAAACAGCGTGCAAGAACTTCAACATGCTGAAAGAATCTGACAAAGCCCGGGCACCAAACTCCAGCCAGTAGCCCCATGGACTTGAGGGAAGCCTTTGTTGCAATCAATCGGACGATTCAGAGGTCAGGGCCTGTTTCGTCATGGTGTACTTAAGTTAATATGCAATCTCTACTGCGCCCAGGGAACCCGTAGCGCTACTTTGAAGTTGCGCTTGAGCTATATTAATCGTTAATATCAAGCTCTCATGCCCTCAACGAACCCATCGTTCAGTCGTTTCATCACCAGGCAATCACACTAGCAACCCGTCAACCCAGTCATAGTAGCAGTCAACAATCAAAGCCGATCACACATCAATCCACCACAACAGCAATCTGTCGGTTTGTCTGTGTGTGTGGTTGTGCTTGTTGGTGTGCATCTGTGTTTGTTTGTCTGTGCCTCTTTGGCTTGTCCGCTTGGCTTTGGGTATGCGTGTCTGTGTCTGGGTCGTGTGGCCTTGTGTGTGCATATCGTTGCTGTCTGTCTGAACAGTAATCTTGCCCACAAGCATCGGAAATACCCACGGCTCACCTGTATACGTGGCACGCCAGGCAGCTTCTGTGAGCTGGAGCAGAGACTCCGGAGCGAGAAGCAGGAGGGGAGCGCAGTCCAACCTCAAGTTTGAGCAGAGACCGTCCGATGCACCGTTTTGCGGCTGTTTGGATGCTCCAGCTCCCATTGAGGGGGAGTGTGTGACAGATCGTATTGCAAGTGGATCTCGAGGGCTCGGCATTTGGCTTTGGTGGTCGCTCGCGGCGGGACTGCCATCTGGGTGCTGGATGTGTCTTGACACGGAAGCTTCAAACAACCGCGAAAAGTGCAGGAGCTCATCAAGAAATCTCAAGTTGAACACGGTTACAAGGCCCTGCTGCACTGAATTGGGCCCTGATCCAGACTGAATAAAGGATGTCTTTCCTGGAGTGACAAACAAAAAGTTGAATAATTACGCAGCTTTCTGGCATCCTCGACTTACCTTATTCCTCCAAGGGGGGTTGGCAGGGTCATTCCCTGCTGTCAACGTGGAAGAATGCACATCGCCGGGCCGCTGCTGTGGTTCTGCACGCATCCCCAGCATTCCTTATGCTCGCAGCAGAAGTCTTCACCTCAAGTATCGTCAGAGACAGTGTATGTCATGCGCTCCTTTGTTGAGTCTATCTTCAACAACTTTTACAAGATAGGAGCATGCTTCGAAGATCTGTGCACTCAACAAAGAATTCCTGTGCATTATCCAGCTGCAACAGTCCATTCGCAGCAAGATATGCAAAGCGTAGCCTTGCAAGAGTTTGCTCAGCCCGATACCCGCATCACTACCACTGCCGTTAGAGAGAGAGAGAGAGAGAGAGAGAGAGAGAGACTAAGCACCCGTAATGCGGAAACGAACTTCAGCAGAGTCATGACTGACTGCCGTGATAGCATCCATACAGATGCAATTCAACAATCAAGCAATGACTTCGCTCCTAGTGCTTTACACAGCCATCGCCTGAAGATATCCACATCCAATCAGAATGATCAAAACCGTGCGCTTTCGAGGCACAATCCTCTCGGCTTGGAAGGCTTGCCAGGGCCCTGCGGCCCTGGAGACAGCAGGTGTGCGCCTGGGCTTTGCTTGCACGTTTCTGATGGAAAAAGGATAGAAAACATAAATCACACCTTCCAGAAGCCGTAACCCATCTTGCTTCAAGAGACCTTTTCAGTTGTGTATTTGAGGCAGGAGTGCCGGCAGTAGTAATGCTCGAGCAGACACTTCTGCCAGTCAAAATAATATGGACAGTTCAGCCATCATCGCCATCATCATGATCACCATCATCATCGTCATCACCATCACCGCCACCACAACCATCATCATCATCATCATCATCACGATGATCATCATCATCGTCATCACCATCGCCACCACCACTGTCATCATCATCAGCAGCAGGATCATCATCATCGTTTCTCACCATCACCGGCATCAGCATCATCATCATCATCATCATCACCAGCATCAGCAACATCACCGTCCTCATCGTCATCCTCGCCAGCAGTGCTCCGGCTCGAGCTGCAGGTGGAGATTGCTGTAGTTGTCAATTGGCCAGCCAAGATGGCAAGGGGTCAAGGGCACCAGGTGACCATGCAAGACCAAAACTATTGCCACCAAGTGCTCCTGTTCCGGCTAGAGCAAAGGACTACCCACGTCTTTGCAAGAAGCAGCCCTCTTTGCCACCCACGAGGCAGGATCCCGGACAATGCTGCAAGACGACGGTGCATTCCTTCGAAGCATCATGAAGATCCCGCTGCACATGCAGACAACTGATGTAACAGCTTGACACCACGCAAGATACAAAGACTTAATCAGCGATTCTGGTGACTTGAGCTAGCTGAAGTACATTGAAGTATACTTCAAGTGAAAGAAACCTCGCCTGTCTTCCAGTTAATTAGGGAGCAGCAGACATGCAAAGCCTGGACGAGCGTCAGCAAATCAAGCAGCGAGGAATCCACGCCGTAGCCTGTGGCCACGCGGGAGCTGAGCTCATCTTCCACATCGGCCTGCTTGGAAGTCTGTAATTAAGTCAGCCGCGGTCGCTTCACATGTCTTGAAAACTTAAAGCAAACAATGCACCTGCCCAACAGCGTGTTCCGGGCGGTTATGGATGCCCTGTGCTTTGGACGTGCGAGCTTGATTTCGGGTGTCCGCCTTGCTTCTGCTCAGGTTCTTGAGCCGCACATGCTATGCCCTTGTCTGTTAACTGCGCACCCACACATACATGGCACAAACCGGCTCGACATGCCAAGCTGCCCAGTGCGCACCGATCCACCGATCGACGAGAAGCAGGCGTGGCCTTCTGCGGGTTCTGGGATGGAGGGCCTGTAGTCTTTTGCCTTAAGGCTTGGGTCAGGCATTGAGAGGCTTTCAGAACGTACCGTGGATTCAGGCTTCTGGGTGTTCCTCGACAGCCGTCCCATGACGTCTAGCCCTACAGCAAACGAACATCGAGCAGCAGTCTCGTCTCAGCCAGCACTTTCGCGCTACCGATGTCATGTGATGACGAGCCCGCTAAACAAAACCGTTACAATGATTAAAGCCTATAGGCATGCTTGTTTGCGGCTCGGATACGCCACATTGCATAAAGCCCAAGATTGCGGCACCTCGACGCAAAGGGGCCTTGAAGTGCGCGTTGCCAGGGATCTTGCAAAGATTGCTCCTGAAATGCCCAGCGCGTAGCGCGTAATACCAAAACTCTAAAACTCTAGTGTCGGGATTCCAGCCTTTTAGCATTATGTTTGTGGGACCTTCGGGGTATGAGGAAATGGGTCGTCCAAATGGGTTGGCATGCTACATGGGACCCGAATCAGTTTCTCTCGGTCTCTCGACTTGCGTGCGCCGTTATCTTGTGACTGAAGACGCGCACAGCTCTTGTAGAAATCGTCGTGTTATTCAGCTCTCTTCATGCTTAGGGCGGCTGTCTGCTGCTTTGGAGAAGTTAGCAAGATGCATCGACAACTGTTGACTTTCCGTACGTCTGGTGCTGCATGGGAGACCTAAAAAAGGCCGGAGTATGCGTGCCCAAGATGAATCTAGCCGGCGGACATATGGCACCAGCCCGAGATTGGCGCCGCACACCTCGCCGAGCAGGAACAACCACTCGGCATGAGTTTTCGGTGACTTCCGTCTGCGGGCTTAGCTTGTAGTAGCAGGTAGCACCATCCTGCAGTTTTATGACCTGCATAGTGGTGTGCACATGCTTGCACCAAAACACTGTAGAAGTCCTGCAGTACATGCCTCGTCGCTCGAACCCTGCCTGGTCAAGCAGCGGAGTGGTCGGGTCCGCATGCGTCCAAAGGTGGAAGAAGTGGATGTAGGAGGCCCGGCTAGGGTCCTGACTGCCACACAGGAGCAGCAATACCACGGTGGGACCTTGCGGCTCAACCGCAACCGGTAACCCTGAACCTATGTGGAACATGAAACCCCCCTGTCTTCAAGTTGCAAGCAATGCTTGCTCGGTCATTGATTGCCATTGCAACGTACTATACCTTTCCTAGGCTTTCAGGGCTCCAGCTCGTGCAAATCGCAATATGACTGCAACGATTGCGTTAGCACTTGCGACTTACTGTAACTGCTGTCGAAAGCCAAACGTTACAACTCTGGACCTGAATCTCCTTCAGATGTCCACTGCAGGCTGGTGGCACATCCAGGGACCGCCTGGGGACTTTGCTTGAGCTTAGAGTCCTATAGGGCTCTACCTTCCCGAAGAGCAGGTCACTGGATCATGCAGGTACCCAGGGCGTTTGCATCGGGGCGGTCGAGGACCGAGACGAAAACACGGCAACTTCAGTGCAACAAAGTGTCATGAGCAACTCACCCCGTCTCCCACAGCCCTAGAACTGACCAAAACAAGTCTTGAAGTCCAAGGGACCTGAGCGAGCATGTTGCCCATGTCCCCCAGGGCCACGTGGAGCAAGCGTGGCCAATGATGGGCCAAGACCGACATCCAGGAATCTGCAGCAGGGCCCGTAGGGGAGAGACAAACAGAGAGGGAGAGAGAGAGAGAGAGAGAGAGAGAGAGAGAAAAAACAAGAGAGAGCGAGAGGGATTCTGCTAACTGTACACATGCTACAGATGTTAAAGCATACTTGCATGTCTAACAAATGATGACATATGACTACACTTGTCCATGTGTGTGACTCTGTCAAGACTTTCTGTGCACAGGAACACAGCTAGCCTAATAACTCACTTGCAAGCCACCATTCCCAAGCGGTTAAGAATTGCGGCCCGAGGACATCCCCACTGCAGCATGTCCATCGAAACGGAGGGCACCCGAGCGGCCCGCTGCCTAAAACTCACACAGAGGCTTCTTAAAACTCGGGGGTATTTTGGGGTCCTTATAAGAAGGATCCTACTATTTTCGGAAAGTCTCACACAGAGGCTTCTAAAACCTAGGGGCTCCTTCTTATGGGATCTTTGAAGCATGTGACGGTCTCATGTGTTCTGAAACTCACGTGCTCAATGTTAGGATGACAAACACGGTACATTCGTCCGGTAGCTCCCCGCTGCGGCTTGAAAATGCTTCCAAACGCACTGACAGCAAAGGCAAACGGTTCAGGGTATCGCACCAAAGTCTGCGCGACATGTCTAGCAGCAAGAAGCCTTCGAACATGCCAAAGTCTGCCGTCAGTCATTTCCAAAGGTTGACATAGCCATACCTCAAGACCCCAGAAGAAGACTGCATTGCGAAGTACCGGTCCAAGCCGGGCCTTGCGAGCTTTCATGGAACCCTCGGGCTCTGAAGGCCCGTGTCTTCTGAGACTCCGGGGGTCTGACTTGAAAACTTCATACTCCGAGGCCCTGTCTTACATGATCATATGTGACACACGGAGCCTCCCTGAAATCCGAAAGCAAGCAGCAGACACGGACCCGAAAGCTCCAAGCATCGCAAACCCTCACGCAGCCGAAAATCCGAAGAATCGAATATCCTATGAAATACGATGAAAGCTCAGCCATGCTCCAGGAGAAAAGCAACTCATCAGCAGACAGCAATTCCGTTCGCATCCACTCCTACTGCCTAGAACCCCTCAAAGTTCTCGCCCCCATCAACCCATCAAACCCCCCTAAGGTAAAAGCCAGAAAGTTGGAATATGATTATCCTAACCCTTCTATGGTAAATTATAGGGTATCCTACCAAGAAACCATATAGTCCAACTTTCTGGAGTTCCCCCTATTGTCGCATCTCAGCCGGAAGGCGCCATGGAAATGAGGCTCAGGGCCTGAGCTACCATGGGACTGTCCCGGAAGGTCAAGGCGGCATACATGGTGCCGAAGACCTTCAGAGATGGATTTCGGGACTAAACGAAAATAGGGGACCCTAATATAGTACCCTAAATAGTAGGATCCTTATTATAAGGACCCCCAAATAAGGTACCCCCCCCATTTTCGGAAACTCCCATTTCGGGACTAAACGAAGGGACCAACACATGCGCAGGCACACATGCATGCACACGTTTAGATGCCAAGGGTCCGGGATGATCGGACAGATCCGGAGAAGTGTCAAGAAGTGGTTGCCAAGCATGTTGACAGTCAACCTCGGAATCCGTCCGGAGCCGGTAGAAAGTCTCCGGCAGTAGCAGGTGGGCAGTCTCACAAATGCTTAGGGTGCACAGTCTTGGAGGCAATGGCTTGAAGTTGAACAAAGAGATGACATTCAAGCAATGAGCCATGCCTCGCGCGGCTTCGGGCGGGGAACGGCCGGGAGCTTCGATGGTCGCATCGCGAAGTTAGCGGGCTAAGGAAACTCCAAAGTTGAATTGCAAAAATACTACCAGCCCTCAAACCTGGAAGCTCCAAAACTCTCAGCATGTTAAACTTCTGCATACTGCTCTTTCTACTCTACTCCGATGCTCGGGACGTGGGCTTACATATTCTTTGGTTCGTGGTGGGTTCCATTAGTTTCTAGGACTTGCCCGCGCTGTCAGTGAAAAGGGCTATACTGCTGCCAGAAGTACGGTACATCAGCATCTTAGATGCACTCCAGGCAGCATCCGCATCACGACGAACTCTATCCTTGGTGGCAGTGGAGCCGTACATTGAAGGTAACTACCTCGGCTTGAAATTGCACGGTGTTCCATGTGGCCATGTTGACATAACTACCTTGGTCGCGTTTCAAAACAGATGCTTAGCTGTCGTTTGAGATGAATCGGCGACCGGAAAGGGAGACGTCAACCCTGTCTCCAGCCCGTTTGCGCGTTGTGACTCGTACCCCGACCGCGGTAAAGAGGCAACCATATTGTGAGTAAGGCAAATCTCTTCACTGGCGCTCTGAGGCCATAGCCAGGGAATCCCTGGCCCCTGAGAATGTCACAACATACCTCCCGCTGGTCTTCAGCCCTTTCTCTGAACCTGGAATCTGGGCGGGGGCTCACAAAATGGGGAAGTGTGGGCGCTGTATGCCATTTACGGAGCAAGACTTCTGCAAACCCTGATGCTCGTAAACCCTGGCATATCTCATACCTGCGCGTAGAAAAGCCCTAAGCTAAATGCAACTGGAGGGGCGGTTCCCCTGTGCCGTCCTGCTGACAAGGAAGTCCTGCGGAGTTTGATTCCGAGGATCGGGGCCTTCAGGTTATGGATTCAGTTGAGATGTTATGGTTTCTGAAATCTACAGGGCGGGTGAGCTGATGTGTTCATCAGTCTAAACGTCCAAAAAAGCCGCAGAGGCCTCCCAAACGGTCTTGGTAGCAGGGGTTCCCAGAGTTTCGGAATGCTTCTTCGGGCAGCTTATGCTATTTTAGAAACAGCCCCCAGTCTTTCCGAACGGGCCTGCGGCATCAACAAGGACCCTTGCCGATGGGCTCAAGCTGTAGGATGAAAGATCTCATCTCAAGAGCAACCGGAAGGATACAACATAATGACTTACCTATATGACATCTATGCGGATCGAACGGATGCAAAGCCGCACTTCGCCAGCAGTCCCAACAAAAGACGCAAAACAAATATTGACATCACCCGAATGCAACAACTCACGAATGAAATGCCTCTTATCGACTCTTGCCATATCGAACGTTCATGTGTCATGGCCCGGTCTTTCTCCAGGGCCGCAAGTTTCGCCATGGAGGAACCTCGGATTCCAAGTCCCGGGTTGTTGGTATGGTTCCGAGTTCCCACAAAGATGGCCATCATTCCGCAGATCCTGATGTCAAAGCTTCTGGCTTCATGGACTTCTCATTGTCTACCTTGAATGATAATGAAACCCAGAGAGTTCGAATAGCTTCAAAGCATCACTTGGAAACAGCCCTGATGAACTTTTCATAATATTACCTGAATCAGCGCAGCTATAAACAGCCTGTAGTCATGGAAGGGCAAGGGGCGACTCGAACATGGACAGGAACCAGCTGGCATTCCACGTCACCACCTTGCCGTCTCCTGAAAAGGAGGAGTCATGGATGTGGTTCGACGGGAGGTGAGGGGTTCTCTCCGTAATCTTCAGGCTTTGTCGACTGAAAGGTTATGGTAGGTGGCCCTGAATTGGAATAATCACAGAAAGCCACCACTATTGGCAGGTCCCAGGAATGCTTTTCTCAACACGAGGCTTCTCACATAGCCAACACTCATGCATTCCCCGAAGCCACAAATAAAATCCGTGCGCTGCTTCAGATGACCCCCCTGCTATGCCCTCTCTCTCTCTCTCTCGCTCTCGCTCTTCGGGTCAGGTGGATCTTGACCTGTGAGGCCGAGTCCCGAACCCAACACTCTGATCTGCCCGAACACGACCCCGAGGCGAGAAGTCAGAACCTTCAGCCTTGAAGCTGAGGCTCAGGCCCTTGAAAGCCGTGCAGTGCCAACACAGTTCCCAGACCCCACAAGGCTTTCTGCGGGTCCTTCCCCCAAGAGGTACGGGATGAGGCAGGGACCCGCCAGGCCAGCCACTTCGCTGTCGGCCATGGCGAGTCATGGTTGTAGGGTTTGAGGCCGCAGGCTCTGGGAAGAGAGATTTCAAGCCGATTGCCTGTGGGCTTCCAATTTATAGGGTTTTACGGATTAGGCTTTATGATTTAGGGTTAAGGGTCGGGTGTAGGCTTTTTCACGTGTAGGTTTGTCAGCCGCCCTGTGGCTTTCTTCGCGACTTTGAGAACGGCTGTCGTGTGACAGCAATGCTGCTGCAGCTGTCAACCCTGCAACAACCATATGACTATATCCTCTACACCTGCAGTCTGGTTATTGGCTACTATGCTATGATGTTGCTACTGCCTTGTTGATCTGATTCTTCGGCTTGTAATTACGTCTGTGACTGCTTGTTGACAGTGCTGGCAGATCGCAGGGCTTGAAGCGGAGTCCCAAACAGTCAGCGTGTCGCACAGGGTTGACGGTGAGGACCAGAGCGGTTGGGTATGCTTCGTATCAACTTGGCTTAGTCTAGAAAGATGAGTGTCGAAAAGGTGTGACGACATCATGGTCTTCATGGTGATCCGTATATTGTCAGGGATAGCAATATAGCCAGTGCAGCCAAATGACGTGTATCGGCCATGACCTGCTGCAGCGAGGAACGACAAGTCATAAGTGCATCGAGAGCAGTATTGGGCAGCCGATACCGCAACAAGCGACAGGGACGTGGGTGTGACCGTCTTCCGTTCTTGCAGACAGACATGCAGCAAGCAGCTACCAGCACGAATGGTAGCCTGCCGATGGAACTGCCTTCTGATGGCTATCCGGGGTCGCCTTCCGATGATGGGAGGTGATAGAGCCAGCAAGCAGCCACCGCCAACAGCACTGGCTGCGCATGCACACGGCTCCTACATCTTGGCTTGAGCCTTTGCAGCTGTGGTACCTCGCCCTGAGTCAGACTTGACAGCCCGAAACACGTTCCATTACGAGATCTAGTTACCTAGTTGAGAACTGTTGAAAACTTTGGCATCGGAGTGTGCACGATGCCCAGGTCACATCTGTTACGATTTTGATCATGACACATGCTGAGGACTCTCGGAACTGAACGGGAGAGCAGCCTGAAGAGAGCATCAGACAAACTGCAATTAGCGTCTGAAATCAGCGACACATTCGCTGCTAAACCCTCATGAGCTGCACTTTCTCATACCCTGTGGCCCTGTAAACATCAGCATCTCTCCGATTCCTCCTACCCCACTACTTCCCGAATGACAATGCAGCCTCGAGGGTCAGCAGCACGGGATAAAGCCTCAGCATGGAAGTGTCACGCTAGGTTGAACTGGTCTTCGTTTTACAGCGCATCGCAACTTGAGCTTATTTGCGCTGAGGTCGTCATCTTTTCCCACGGGCCAAACAACCAAAACTTGAGAACCCTTCAACATGCGAGGACTCAGAAACCCTGAAGTTCCCAGAGCCCTCCGCGCCACGCGCTAGACTTTTGAGGCATCTCGACGGCGGGATGGAGAGCCACGGATCTGGGGCTCGGAGCGTTCATCTCAGATCCCAAATCCCACCAAAAAAGTCCAACACATCACAGAGGTCCCGGGCATAAGGAAGGGCACCAAAGAGTAGCTCGACTCGGCCTGGGTGTCGGTCGTCAGTGCTTGGAGTTCAAGTTTCAGTTGGGTTCTTGACGTCCCATAAGACAACTATGTTTCCGGGTCGCGGCTCAAGTGAACGACACTTCGACTGTCCTCAGGTGGGAGAGAAGCTCGAGAGATCTTGCTCCGAACCTTGAGCTCATGGGTTGGCGCCATTGAGCCCAGTAATGAGCCATAAAAAGCAACAGGCACCGGATGCCTTTCAACAGATCGTGCAGGTCTGTGAGACACTTGAACCCCAAACCCTGGAACCAGAAAACTGACACATCGTAAGGGCTCAAGAAGCTGAAACTCCTACAAACACACTACATGCACATATACGTGCATGCGTACATCCATACATGGCTGGTTGTCAAAATTAGGGTCCTTTTTGGGTCCTTATTATAATACGGCACCTAATATTTAGGGTACCCCAAAAGGGGCCCTAATTTTGACAACTGCCCACATGTATGCATCTTCAAGCGCTGCCCAGCACCCGCCCTTCGCGCCAAAGGCTGCGACCATGACTTGCAGGACACTTGGGTCGTTTGAGAGAAGCCATCCCAACTTCCTGTGAAGAGGATGTCCGTTCTCTCTTGAAGGTTTCGGGGCTTCCTTTGTCCGTGGTTTTTCAAAGCTTCCGAACATCGGAAAGCTTCATAACATCGGAAGAAATAATGCAAAGACCTGAATCTGAAGCAAGAAGCTTCAGTTGCAAGCTCCGACAAGTGGGGCCATGGCGTGAAGGCGCTCACAAAGACTTTAGGTTGGCATCAACAAATCTAGGTGTGGGCCTTGATCTGAAATGAGTGGCATGGCAAGGCAAACCTCTTTGCGAGGACCGAAGCCTCAGCCACGGCCTGTATCCAGTTAGGGGGATAAAATTCTGAATTACCACCATGATGAATCAGAAGATCGCGGCACGATGTCCAGCCCCCGAAGACACTCCCACGCCACGGCGAGTACAGGCCAGTAAGAAGTCCGTCAAATTATCCAAAACCACTAACCAACCAACCAACCAACCTCTTAAACTTGAGGTCCTACAGAAGAGGACGACCAGGAATGAGGTAGGCACCTTCGGCGAACACTGGGATTCCGGGCGGTTTAGGTTCGACAGCCCTTGGGGCCTGGGCCCCGCGCCTTGTAAATTCGAACTATTCTTGGTTCAGCTTGTCAGGAGTAGGACTGAGGTTCGCGGTTTCAGTTTGCTGGGCCTTGAGGTTGCTAAACGGCCAGGCCCGGGGCACCTTCTTTGGTCCTTTCCCCCGGATTTGCTGCTAGAACTAGCTAGCAATGCTTTTGTCGTTGTTGATCGTTAAGGCCACGCACCAGTAAGTGCTCGCTGCTTCGATTCTGCCCAACATCTACTCAGCTGTTATAGGCGGATGTGTGTGCATACATGTATGTATTTTGCATGCTTAGGGCTGCATATATACAAAAACACAGATTCTGAACTGCTGCATTGGCAACCCCCGACTAAACTGCCTCAGTCGGTTAGAACGATTAGAACGACCATCCCCGCATCTGGGGTTCATCTGTTATACAAACCCTGCTTTCCCGGCTGCGACTGAGGTGGTCAGGGACAGCTACCACATGCTATCACAATGCACTCAGCTAGACTGCGTGACATGACATTCCACCGCCGTCGGGAAGTCAGGTATCGCGTTAGCCGTGTTAGCCCCTGAACCTGGAATTCAAAGACATCAATGCTTATAGACCCTACGACCCATTCCTGCGTGGATGCAAAGGTCGGCACGGAGCCGCAGAGTGCAAACGCGACGAGCTTCCGAAGGGTGACGACCTAAGCGACCCAGTGCTCGGTCTTTTAGAGGATTCCGAACGTTCAAAAACTTGCGAAAAGAGATGGTAAACGACAGGCTAAACGCACCTCAAACTTGCACCTGATCCAGGATACTTAATGCTTGGTGTGTCCTGACAGCCTCGAACTTCATGCAGAAAGCAAGTGTCTCAAACCGGGCACCTAAGCACAAAACAAACACCCCCAGTACTTCAAGCATCAATGTTGTAGCACGTGCAGAGCCATCCCTGCACATAACGTCCCGAAGCCTGAACCAGTTCTTTTCCCCAATCCTCCTCCTTCCCGGCCTGTTCCAACCTTACATATCCCCTAGACCCGAAGCCGCAAACTAAAGCCCGAAATCCGAAAGAAAACCGCGAACCTACACCCCAAGCCCTGGAAGGCCCTACCAACACCCCAAGGCCCTGAGAAGTCGAAAGCTTCCACCGGGCTTGCGGCCGCAGTCTGGCTCACCTCACCTGTTGCGTAAGGGATTCTAAGGCTTAGGGTTCCGCTCTTTTCGGAGCCCCTTTTTCCCTTGTCCGGCTGCCCAAGCTTGAGAAGGTTTGGGGGCTTAGGGCTTCGAGTTTAGTTAAAGTTTAGGATGGGCACAAAACCCAACGAACAGAAGGACTTGCTGCACAAGGTCCACTCTTAGGAGATTCAGTCGGCTGGCCTGGAACTCCGGAACGGTCGGCGGAAAGGGCTTTTAGGGTCAAGAAGGGTTTAGGGTGATGTGTCCGACATGTCTGACTAGGAAGTTCAGAGTTCAGTCAGAGAAGGCCAAACCCGTTTGTGGCACCGAAACCTCGGCATTTTTGCCTGGTGTCTTCGTTGTAGTTTCGGAGTGCACTTGTCAGAAAGCAAGATAGAGAAAGTAGCTCAAGCATCGGACTCCATTGTGGAGGGTGCTTGAGCTGAAACTTGTCTGGCTATGCAAGAAGGGGCGCATTCATGCCACCGCCGAGCCATCGAGCTGTCACCAACACATAGAAGCATCAGGACACCCAACCGTGCCCGCGAACACGAATCACACATCATTTAAGTGAGACCATTTCAGTGGTACTGTTACCACGGCTATAATGCTTGCAAACATAATCCACCCAATCCCATACGGCGAGACCTGGTTCCCTGCCGGCGCAGTAAGCAGCCTCAACTCAGCACGGACTCGCTGACATGTCTGAGGACTTGGAGACTCAGAAGCTACCAAATTATCCCGGGAAAACGGCATCGAGTGCCGGGCTCCAAAAGACAAGAACCCTGCAGCCTTGAAAGTAAGCTCAAGCAGTTCGCACCTGAACCCAACACACCCGAACAAAGCTTTGCCAACCTTCGCGCCTTTCAATATTCTTGTGAACCCCTTTCTGGGCATGCAGGAAGCCATGTTGGCCGAGCCGGTTAAATTCAGCTGCTGGCCTCCACCGAAATCCGGAACTCCAAAATCATAGACTCTGATAGACTGCAACGCCGACAAGGAGCCAGCAAAGGCGGCAAGAAAGCTTGTGCTGCCCAGCTCAGGGGATTGCCTGCTAACTAATGAAGACCAGGGTGATGATGATGATGATGATGCAGATGATAGGCGGAGTTCTGATGATGATGTTGAAGAAGACGAGGACGAACATGGTCAGCATCATGGTTTACCATATTCCTGTTCTTAGCTGGTGATGCTGTTGGGTTGCAATGATGACTGTTGATGCTGGCAGAAGAGGCTGGCTGAGCTGAGACGGCAACGATAAGGGTAATGAGGGTGATGGTGATGACGACGATGATAATGATGATGAAGCAAGAGGGCTTGCATCATAACAACGATGGAGACCGTCATGATTGTGATATAGTGGTTCATTTATTGTGCTGATGGAGATGGAAACCAGCACTGGCAAATCCAAGACATGTAATGATGATGGTGATGATGATGCTCGAGTATAACAACCATGATGGAGATGGTGGTGCCGCTGTTTCACATCGAGAAGGAACACGAGGAAAAGGATGAGGATGATAATTCTTAAACAGTGCGGCTACTCTTTATGTTGTGTTTGGAACGTTGGACTATGCATGCCTTTGTACCATGGAACAAGCAGAACTTGAGCAAATGCCGGGACGAGCATAACCTCGACGAGCTAGCAGGACATCCAAAACGCCTGACTTTTAGCATTCAGATCTAAGCCGATCACACGACAGTTTTGTAACAACGACTTGACGAGTTTTGTCGTTGTATCTTTGCACTTCTCTTGACAAAGCATGAGGCGGTAGACTTCTAGGATCGATGTTTCAGGCGGGGGCAAAATCTCAAGGTCTCGAGGTGCATTGAAGCTCTTTGTGGCTCCAGGGCAGTGCTGGTACACTGGGTTCAAGCCAAGCCATCCCGTTTTTAATTTCCAGAGCATCCAAGACAAGCAAACTCTCCAGATTCAGTGTGGGCAGTTCCAGAAATCATAATGCAGGAAAGGTGCCCAGTGCCACGGCTGACAGCAAGAACAAGGTCTGAAAGAGCTGATGCCCCGCAGCCTTGGCATGAGTGAGATCAGGAGCCAGCGCGGGACCAACAGTGGAAGAGACTCGAAGGTTCTGACATGGGTGGTTGTCAAAATTCCGGTCCCTTTTTGGGTACCTATTACAATACGGCACCTAATATTTATGGTCCCAAAAGGGACCCTAATTTTGACAACCACTCGATCCCTGGGCAGACCACGAGATTTGAATCCGAACCACAAAGCCCAGGATGGACCCCACTGTCTTGGTTCCCGGCTGCAGCCGTCCCCAAACCGCAGGCGGCGGTCTGCGGGCTGCGTTTCTTGTCTCGGTTTGGAGTATCGAAACGACGGGAAACAACAAGCTACTCCTACGCCTGCTCCTGCTCCTACAGGAAGCCCTGTACCACCCGCTTCCTACCGCTAATTGACCAGCAACTTCTTCTCTTAAGCCGCCTGGTTGAACAATAAAAAACCGAAATCCTTGGAGACCCCTCACCTCGGAGCTTGGGGCACGCTTTTGGATGCTGGTGCCCAAGCAGCTGCTGATGGTTGCAGAAATTTGTGCATCCTTGGCAGTCTTCAGCGAAATCGTTGCGTACTTGCTCGGCACCATGATGTGCAAGCGATTGTGCCCACTCAAGAGCAGCACGTCTGAATGTTGCGACTGAGCAGAAGGGAGGTTACAGTGCCGGCAGTCAAGCTTTTTGGGCTCTAGCTCAGACATGGTACGAAGTTTACTTCATTGCTGTGCTCGGGCATCAAACATGGATTGAAACCTGCCATCGAATTGTTAAAAGCGCCACTGCCACCCTTTGGGATTGAAGCAGAGAACGACGCAGTACATTGCTACACGGGCAAGGTGCGGCAAGGAAGCAAACAACAAGCATCCTTTCGATCCTCACGCCGAAAAGCCCCAAACCCCAATGGCACCACAGCAAACATGTCTCCTCTGCTTGTTTTCTGGCGTGCTGTTCAAACATTGCAGAACAGTTCTTCGCCGTCTTTGTTGTTACTTCTACTATCGCATTCTGTGATTGGTGCTACCGCAGTGGCTGTTGCGGTTGAGCTTATCACCGCGATTGACCTGCCCGTCGCATTTGCGTATTGTCGTTGTGGTTGTGGTCGGCGGCATCGTCGTTGACGAGGTTGCTTCAATTGTTGCTGCTGCTGCTACTGCTTCTGAAAAGTCGCGCGTTGTCGGTGTCGTTTTGGTAGTCGCCGATGTTATCAGTATTGCTGCTTCGGTAGACTCTTGTTGTTGGTGGGCCAGGTTAGTAAGGTCATGCAGGTCAT